AGGCCTAAAATGTAATATAACACGATGGAAGAATAGACTGATAGCGGAAGCTTTATCTATCGAATTGAGTGAGGAGAACACGTGAAATAGGAGCCATTGAACCACTATTCCGGCTGTCTGGAAAATTCTGCTACCCCTACGAAGTAAAGAAAAAAGAATCATGAAAATCAAGTTTCTAAATGCTGCAGTTACATTCGACATGATTATGGCCAGTAAACTGTGTTTGAAACGTCTTTCAGTAAACAGAAATACTGTTTCACAGTGTGCGATATTTATATGTAATCAACAAATCGATATGAAACTACATAATACCACAGTGATCATTGATATAAGAAACAAAAGAAAAAGGCCAAAAGGAAAATAAAAATAATTGTGAAACTAGTAATGATTACAGAAATAAGACAGAATACAAGTCACCTACTGTTATACCATATAAGGAAGGGACATCTGAGACCCTACGTAGGATTCTTCATAAAACAGGAATTAGGGTGGCATTCAAACCTACAAACTCACTCAGAGACAAGCTATGTAGGCTAAAAGACCCGGTGGACCCAGTTAAACAAAATAATGTAATTTACAAAATACCTTGCAATGACTGTGAGTTAAGTCAACTAAATAGGTCAAACTAGTAGATCAGGGGTAGTTAGATTGTCGGAACATTAGAATTTAGCTAAGGTAAGAATGATTGACCATGAGAAGATAAGTAATTTAAAAAAAAGCTCAGCAATTGCAATGCATGCATTAACACACAACCACACAATAGGGTGGGAGAATGTTAAAATCCCAGAAAGTAATCTAGATAGGGAGAGAGTGGTTGATTACTGAATCCTTGTTCATCGAGTCTACACCCAGCACATGCAATAGGAATGACTCATCACTCATACCTGAAATATTGGAAATACTGCTGCCAATCAAATCAAGTGTAAAACAATAGAACTATATAAACGAAGTTAGAAAGTTGTATGAGTACCTTCGTATGATTATGAGAGGCAATAAATTGTGCTCGAAACGTCATCAGTAAACATTACTGCATAACACTGTGAGACTTTATCAAAACAAAATTTACCCATAATGGAACCACAGTGATCAAGTTTCACACATATATCTCAGGGTCTTTTCTAGAAATTTCTCATTTTCCCTGGTGGACGTCGTTTTTATAGACCTCAGCAAAGCATTCGACAAAGTATCTTACACAAGACTGCTTGTGATATTGAAAAGTTTCCACGTCAAGAACGGCATATCTCATAGGTAGGAAATTGAATGTCAGAATCAAGTTAAAACTCTCCTCTTGAACAGCGGTGCATAGTAGAGTGCTACAAGGCACTGTACTTGAGCCACTCTTATTTATCTTATATATCAGTGAGTTACCTGTGCTCATCGAATCCTTTATGGTCCTTTATGCGAATGACATAAGAATTTCGAGAGAGCAGAAGGGCGATAGTGATATGCCCACATTGCAAGAAGATCTCGACAAATTTTTAGAGTGTTCTGAAGAATTGATCCACCCTGTCAACTATGCCCATCGGATACTCAAGCATCATTCACACTTATGTGAATCTAAGTGACCTAAAAACTACAGCACAGTGTTGTACTGGGGCAACTTGTAGTTTCAGATCCTTATGGGCAATACTCAGAGCTTTTACTAAGATATGTTTACTTCTGGTGAGATCAAAACTGAAAGACTGTATCCAGTCAGCTAGTTGTTATCTTAAAGGGGACTAATACATTCTAGAAAGGGTTTGAAGGAAGGCAAAGCATACAATTCTTTGCATCCTACGCTGAAAGACTAGGTATTTTGAATATCTTCTGCTTGTCATACCATATGCACAGAGAAGATCTCATTACAGTGATTAAAATTTTAAATAATGACTGTGGACCTGGTCTATTTTCTCTTCCCCCCACCCCACACTAAGTCCAAACACTCAGAGGGAATAGCAAGAGACTTTAAAAGTCAATAAAGAACTATACCTCTGTAGACTACTGTCTCTCACACGGAGCCATAAGATCATGGAACCGACTCCCAGAAGAAGCAGTGTCACCACCCTCAACTGACTTATTCAATCACGGTTTAGACAAGCACATACACTCACTAGGGAAGGAACAAAATAGGCTTCAAACCTTCTATTCTCAATCAATAAATCAGAATCTAAGGTACCATTTCTACTTAAAAACTGTATTCCCTAACTTTATGCCATTAGATTAGATATATGTGATGAGAAAATACGGCAGAATTAATCCCAGTAAATGACGTAACAGATAATGATTGAAAGTTAGAATAAATTAGACCTAAATGGCAGGAGGATTCCAACCATCAGCTTCAAGATAACTGGTCTGGCAGTTATCATTTCACTGTCACCATTATGGGTAACGCCCAGTTGTTAAGTGAATGAATAATGCATTACTGTCCACTTATGATTACAACACTAGATGTCCAGTGAAGTTTCCTCTTGTCAGTTTTATTCCTACTGAATTCATAAAGGCTTAGATTTTCCCTTCACTTTTCAATTATCGGCAAATAAATCGATAAAAATAGTCTGTTAACCCTAGATTGTCTTAGAAAATCTATCACAATAAAATAAAGGAATATTATACAAAATTTAAGATCGATAGATACACAGACAGACAGATAACAGACAAGACTAATGATTTTAAAAAAAATATAACATTCTAGTTATAATCAACTCTGTAGAGAATTAAAAATAGCAATAAACACTGTCAAATGATTAGACATCAGTTATGAATAGAAATATTTTAATTCTGTAGATATCTTCAGGTAGTTAGTTTATAGGTATTTGATTGAGTTGAAGTTTAATCATACAGTGACTGTGAAGTACTTGGTCCCTGTTTCGCAACAGTTTGGGACTCTTCAGCAGTACTCACCCAAAGTTTTACCCATATGAGATAGAACAGAGGACCTTCAAGTTATCTATTCACCTAATTGGAGGGAACCTAATGAATTCTAACTTCTCTGTGTTGGGGATATATAGCGCGAAAACCAGCTAATGTCACCGGTGAGTACTTGTCCTCATGCCCAACTTAGTAGACCCTTATTGTCATATGTGGATTTCATCTCATTAGCTGAATGGTAAATGAACTCGCCTAGTTATCTCCAGGGATTGTTAGAGTGAGAGACTACTGGTATCCGAAAAAAATTCATGACGTGTTTTTCTTATTTAAACTTGTATCATTACTAATCCAAACATGAGACATATTCAATGAATTGCTGCAACTGAAATTAATGATCTTCTCTAAAAGTAAGAAACGCTTTCATTATGCACAATGAGTGGAGAGAGAGACACACAGAGAAATAATGTCCTTCTCAATGGAACTTTTCTTCATCTCCTCCCCCCCTCCTTAGGTTTCAACCTCCACAAATGGCTTCTGAAGTGAGGCCTTTCTTCTGGGTGGAGTTGATAGCCTCGCGTTCAATCTTCCATCTTTTTCAGGATTACTACCAGCAGGGTGACTTTAAGGAGTGATTCAAACCTGAATCGAACTCAAGGCCACATGTTTGATCGGTGATCATTCTAAGCCTAAACCATCGACGTATATCACTGGAATTTGCTCATCATTAAATTAGATTAGTAGGTAGTCTGTCGATCATGTAAGACTATTCAATATTTTTCACACATTGTTATTTCTCATAAATTTTGATTTATTTTGTTACTAAGTGACAGTAATCTCTGACCTTTGCTGTCAATTAACACTGTGTACATAAACCCTTAAATAATTGTATAGCTTTGAAGAGAAGTTACGCGAAATTAGAGATCTCTTTGTTCATATATATTCTTAAGTAAAATATGACTAGATTACAAGTTTGTTAGGTATTTTCATTAATTACAATGCAGATTTTGTTAAGAACTGATTGATATCAACTGAAGAATCATTGAAAAACTAAGAAATACTCTTGGACAGCTGTTTCATTATGAATTGCCAGAAGTTAGAATTTACAGGTGACTGAATTCCTACTCAGTCTGTGAACAGCTCTAAGTTCAACTCCTGGAAGCTCGTGAGTAATCACTCCTTAAAATTTCTGTGTTTCTCTAACTGATCTTTGACTGTGAAGGAATCTATGCTGAGTTTAGAGGCCTTATTGTGTCACATCATTTTCAAAGTCTAAACTGAATGACAACATGAAGGTGAATCTGATAGAGACGCTTATGAAAAGGCAGTGAATGAAGAGACAGAAATTGAAAATATGATATGCACTTGTTAAAAATTGCCGACTATGAAGAAAGACTGAGAAAATAATAAAACTTTTACTGTAAAAGCATTACTCAGACCAATGCTCACCACTTCCTCAGTCCACCGCCTTAATTTTTAGATATGCCTTTCAACTACACTCTCTTCTCAGTTATGTCAGGTTGAAAGCCGACAGCTAGTAAGAATTTGTAAAATTATGAATACAAAATTCTTAACATGAGGCCAATAATAGACTTCATTTACAACAGTAATTAGCTGTTTAACTATCGATTTTCTCATTTTTAAATTCTGTTGAACCTCACTGTGTTCCCGCTGAAACTTCATGGGTGGAGGGTTCGAGTCCTAGTGAAAACACAATCCCTCAGTGGGGATGTAGACACACCCATCTGATTATCCCCTTATACGACAAAATGAGGATTCATCAACCAGAATAATCCCTAGACATCATCGAAACATCCATGCTAGGAGGCGATATGTCAACTTTTTTATTTCCTTCACGTTCCCAGTGGAACATCGGGGTTCAAGCTGGAGGCTTGAAGTTTCTGTAGCAGTGTTTATTATTTTTACAGGATGGGTTGCTAGTCTCATGCCCAGCCTTCCCTCTTTACCAGTCTTATTACTGGCTAAGTGAGGTAAAGGAGTGCGTCGGTGGCCGGGGGATCGAACTCCGAACCATGTGTATGGTCGGCGAACATGCCAACCGCTGTGCCACCAAAGCACCGATATGTCAATAGACACCAGAAATATCACATAAACAGATATATGCATGCAGAAATAGTATTTCACTTTTTACTTACCAAGATGTTTTCCATAATATCGTTCTAGAATCAATTGATTTGCTCTAGCTAAATCATCCAGTGTAATCGGTTGAGTTTTACGTCGAATAACACGTTTCACTGGTTCACTGGTATTATTTATAGTAGTATTTGTTGTTGCTGTCGTAATATTTAATGGTCTACTGTTTATTGTGATAGGCTGTCCTTGTGCTACAACAGCAGCCCCAGCAGCAGCCCGTTGATTAAATAAATTTCTCTTCTCGTTTAAACTTAATCTATATTGAACAGAAATAATAATCATATTAATATTGTTAGTTGTTATTATAATTACTCAATACATAACAATTTTTTAAAATTAAAAAAAATAATAAATCAGTTTACGTTCAATGCACAACTATTTAAACTATTATTATTATTACTATTATCATTCATATTCACACACACACAATACAGCCTGTTTCAATATTTTCAATGTTTTTTTTTATTACTTTTGATTGTTGTCAAAAATACAAAAAAATTTCCATTTGAATTTTTGAAAAAGTTAAATGCGTTTGAGTGAAAGGCATACACATACAGGCATACATAACTGAACGCCCACATAGATACCTACGCACTACTAATCACCTACGCACATACACAAGCAATGTACGTACGCACACGATAATATGTAACTTGCACGTGAATAGACGGATGGATTGATAGGTAGACAGACACACACACATGCATATATTTGCACTAATAATTTTCAATTGATAGACATGCGTATCACACATGTCGTCTGAGGCTAAAATATCTCGTGCATTAGGCTCCGCTTCATTCTGTTCTCTGTAATCTTTCTTTTAACTCACTCTACAACCGTGCATAAGCTTTTGGCTTCTCTATTCACAGTCTCCTCATGTCACCCTTGGACATGCGTCAGACTGTTAGTTCTCCAATTATAGTTCCATTCAATGGCTTTTGTGGCGTATGATCCGACTGAACGGTCTTCTCAGTGTATGATCAATCCATGTCGATTTCCTTACGCATATTTGTTATGCGATAGATTCTTGTTTGGTCGGTTACACTGTCGGGATCACTTTTCGATTATCCTTTCTAATCGGTCATCTGATCTTCAGTATCGACTAATGAGAGGTTGATAAACGTCTTAAGAAGGTTACTGGATGGCAAATCTCTGATCTACATAGAAGCACTGACTGGCTGGACATTAGTTTCTTAAACTGATTTTAGCAGATTCCAACACAGGTTCTAGGTTATCAAGGCTCTGTTTTACTTTTCAGATCCTGCCTGACTTTAACATTTTCATTCAAGTATTGGTTTGCAGGGATTTGGTTGATTGGTTACAGGATTTCATCATGAGCTGATATTGGTTAGAGAACCATTGGAAAACCTGGGAGTACTGGACAGCTGTTTCGCCCTAGTTTGGGACTCTTTACCAGTACGCACCCACCCGGGTTCGAACCCAGGACCTTCTGGTTCCAAGGCGAGTTCCAGTGACTTCATGGTATACGAGCTCACCTTGTAACTAGAAGGTCCTGGGTTGGAAACCCGGTGGGTGCGTACTGCTGAAGAGTCCCAAACTAAGACGCAACAGCTGTCCAGTACTCCCACGTGGTTTTCCAATGGTTCTCTAACCAATGTCAGCTCATGATGAACATTTTGAACATTTTCATCCGTACCGTCACAAGTAGTCGAAACGATGCCATTTAGATTAGTGAAAGAGTTAATTTCCTTCAGATTTCTATCGTTGAAGGCGATCGGTGTTTGTTGTTGTTGTTCGTTTGGTTGGATCGGGTACATTAGGGTAGGGTAAAGTTTTTTCATCAGCTCTATCTTTACTACGTTCCCCTGAAGTCCTATCTTCATTGCCTGCCTCTTTTGTCGAAATGTTGGATTTCGCCAGTAGATCTCCGTTTTTTTTTGCGAAGTCTAAATGTTTTAGATTCTTTTTAGAGTCGGTCCAACATATGCCTGCTTTCTTGCCTCATAAGTCTTCACTAAACTATAAAATGTCTCATTTTATCATTTTATTTGAAATAGTTGTGATGAAATTCGACATTTAAAAAGTGACAAAATTGTGGTGAAATTTATAATTTTCTATTTTAAACTCTCATGAGTAAAATTTAATCAACACTGAGGGAACGAGTTCGTCGTCGTTTCAGTGATGAAACGTTCACCAGGCGTGCATATTGTCCGCATAACTAAATTTCACCTAGCCAGTAGTAAGCCTGTTAGAGAGGTAAGGAGGGGTATGAAGCTAGGATCCCCACCTCCACCCCAATTATTCTGAAACTATAAAAGCCTCAAACTTGAATGAAACGGCAAGAGAATGTAAAAAAAAGAACTAGTATAACATCTGACACCAGCTGGTTCGGGTACTATTTCAAGAAAAGCTTTCCCTGCCATCCCAGTAATTAAAACCAGTGTTGCATACTGCTAGAGTTAGTTAGGGCTATTCAGGACCTCGAGATGTATCTTTTAAAATTGGTGTAGGTACTCAGATCGGTTGATGGATGCATTTATCTCAGTTATCATTAGTAATTATCTAAAACTTATGTCACTATTGCCATATATTAATCACTAAACCAATTAATACAGTACAATTGGTCTCCCTACCAACTGAATTCTCCTAACACATCATGTCAGGATATTCAGCAGTTGTCTGCGTACTAATGCTGTGGCAGTCCTACTTTGAAGTCATCAGGCTGGTCTTGAAGATAAACTATGCACAAATGTTTATAAAAATCCAGTTCACTTTAATTCATTAGGAAGATCAAAAAAGGTCAGAAGCAAAGTAACAAATAGTAATGAAACTAATAATGATAACATATATAGGAGAGAATGTAAGTCATCTACAGTTTTACCATATAAGGAGGGGACATCTGAAACCCTAATTGAGATTCTTAATAGAGAGGGGATCAGGGTGGCATTTAAACCTGCAAAATCATTCAGGGACAAGTTGTGTAGGCTGAAGGACCTTACTTGTAATGACTGTGAGGTCAACTGTACATGTCAAACCATTAGATCGGGAGTAGTCAGATTATTGGAACATAAGAATTCTTGATACAAGATGGTTGGAGGCAGTCTGAAGGAAACTTTGGACCTAGCTCTCGTGCTAGTTGGTACTCACCAGTCAACAAGGTGTATCTGCAACCTTGAATGAATTCACGTCCCTTCTGCAGTCATAGACGTTACCACTGACCTATTGGGGCTCGCGACTGACCTCCTGTAGGACTGTAGTAGATACTTTGACTGGACACTGGTCACTAACTAGTGTAGTGTGTCTACACTCCTTTGTTTGGTGCAGAATGCATTCTATCAGTCAAGTTTGCAATATGTTCAGCATTCTAAATGGCTTGCCATCACAGTGCACTTTGAGTTATTGATATTAGATGGTTGGAGGTATGAGTTCGTTCAAGGTTATAGCCAAGCCTTTCAGACGAGTGCCAACTAGCATGAAACCTAAGTCCAAGGCTTCCTGCTAATTGTCTCTAAATATCTAATATCAAGCATTCAAAGTGTATCGTGATAGCGAGGTACCTAGAATGGTGGCCACACTGAAAAATCTGACTGATAGAATTCATGAGCTTACAACATTTTTCTCATGATGAAGGTTGAAGATGAGGCGATAACTCATCGAAGAAGACATTGCAAAGTGATTGCACTGTGTCATGAATTGGCAGAAGTTAGAATTCATGGGCTGGCCATTGGATCAGCTTACGGTGGCTCAATAGTCTACAAGCTAGCTCGCCTTGTAACCAGAAGGTTGTGGGTTCGAACTGTGGTGGTGAGTGTGTACTGTTGAAGACTCAGAAACTGTGACGGAACAGCTAGCTGTCCAGTGCTCCCAGGTGGTCTTCCAATAGTTCTCTAACTGTTGTCAGCTCATGATGAAAACCTCCATCCAATCAAAAAAAATCCCTAAAACACCAATACTTGATAGAATTCAGTTTTCAGTAAACAAATGATTTGATAAACAACACTCGTTACTGACTATTGTCCAATCAAAACATAAGAATTCATCTAAGCGTAGAATGGTTACCCCCCCCCCCAGAAAGATGAATAGTCTAGAGGAAAACTCAGCAATCGCAGTGCATATATTTACACACACTCTCACAATAGGATGGAATGGAACTAGAGTTCTGAAAGGTAATGTAAGTATATGGGGAGGGAGAGATGTTGATTACTGAATCTCTACTACACCTAACACATGCAACAGGAATAACGCAACGCCAGTATTAGAGATATGGAAAATATGACCACCGATAAAATCAGAAGTCGTAGACTATTCAGTTCTCGTCGAAACTGACCCGATAGCCAGCCCATGAATTTTAACTTCTATCAATTCGTGATTTTAGTAGGATCACCAACCCTCGCGCCGTCGGAAAGCATTTGTCCTCATTGCCGACGGATGGATACCACTGGTCACGACTTCTCAAAAGGAATTCCAATCAATTTTTTTTCCTGTAGCCGGTTACTTGAGATCAGATTAATTTTCAAGACTAAGTAACAAGAAGGTCCAGGGTTTCAAACCCGGAGGGTGCGTACGAGTGTGTCAACCATGCACACTGTCTGTGGTCGATTTACGGATTACGTAGTTCTAAACTACCACCAGTTTACTAGCCCAAAAAAAGGGAAGGTTGAACGTGTAAAGCTAGCAGCCTAAACCCCTTAAATATAAACAAAACTGCTAGTGATACTTCAAAGCTCATGCTTGAGGCTCTTTAATGCTGTATTTGGAATGCAAAGGAATAAAATAAGGAATAATAACCAATTGTTATTCTTAAATATGGAAGTCCTAATTGTGATAGGAAATAAGTAGCTATCAGTATTCACAAATCTGAAAGATAACTTGATATTATTTTGGTAGATGGGGACTAGCAGTGAAATCAAGAAGCGTGTTTCTTCCAATTCGGAACTTGTTACTGAATGTACCTGTTATTTTCCAGTGAGACGTAGTGTTCCCATTAGCTGCTGAACCCTGAACCCATTATTTTAAAAGCCAAATCTATAATATACTAGATCAGTTAAACCATGAAACGGCTGCTGAAGGTTTCGAGTCTCAGTGAGTAAACCACTAATCACTGAAGATACAGTTATGTCTACTTGGTGAGTCCTAAGTGGGAAAAAAATAAGTGTCATTGATTGCACCCCTTGTCACCATAACATCTAAGAGCTAACGTTGAGTAGTCCTCGACAATGCATTCTTGATGATATTTTCATAGAAAACTACTGATTATTTGAGTTGAGTAGTTGTGCACCAGTCACATCAGCCCATAAAACCTGATATCCAGATCGAACAGC